AACGTGGTGTACGAAGTGAAATGCATGGGAGGAGAAAATGTAGACTGCAACAAAATATATATAGGTACAACGAAAAGAACACTGGGAATCCGTTTAGCAGAACACGAAGCGGACATAAGAAAGGAAAAGAAAAACACAGCACTCGCACAACATACATATGTTAGAAAACAGTCACACAGCTGATCTTGCAAACGCCAGAATAATAGATGTAGAAAAGAGAGAGAGGACAAGATACACACTAGAGAGCCTTCGCATATTAGAGAATAGAAAAAGAACTATGAATACAAAAGAAGACACGGATGATATTGCGGCTACTTATTTATTATGTTTGTGACAAGAAAATCAGTATGACAAGTGTACCAAACGATAATGGTACAATGCTCTAGCTTTTAAGTGTTTATGTTTTAGTGTTTATATGTTTATGTGTTTATATGTTAACAAATATACGTATATGAAAGTAAGTTTAAATATTTGCTGCGTGATAAATTCAAATATTGAGACTTTATTAACTACATGTTCAATGTAACTTTTGTTCCTAAGCTCATCAAAATTAATAAAATTTACGAAGAAAATTGGCCAGAAAATAAGATATTATATTAAATATTTTTCGGAGAGCCTGCCGATAAAGATCTTTTTGTTTATTTTATTTTAACATCAACGAAGGAGGAAACAAGGGAACATGAGACATTACTACAAACATATGAAGTATAAATACGGGGAGGATACATGCATGAACCTAAAGCATTACAGCAAACAAAAACAAAAACTAACAAGACTAACAGCACAACTAAAATTCTTACTGGAATGCAGAAAATACGACATAATACCCAACCACTTGACAAATGCAGCAACGAGAATAACAATAGAAACCACATCACCAAATATAAAGCAACAAATAGAGAAGGCGAAACGATTATTTCTCAAAAAATTACTGAACATAGAAATCACACAGACAAATATAAACATCAAATCTACAGAGACCAAATGGGGTATACTGAACGACAATTAAAGCGCAACCTTAGTGAATTCGATTTAAACTCTTTCTTTTCCGACCAAACCCTTCTAAGCCAGAGAGTTGCAAAAGAACAGGAGACAATACAAGCACAGAAATTGGAGAGGCTAAAATATAAAAAATTACAAAATCTGGGTATCTGTGTAAACAGCGACTGGTTCGTAAACAAAACCAACATACATTTTCCCGAAGAAGTGAAATGGTTGCTCTCTCTCGGTAGGAAATTTACAATTCCTACAACAAGTACCAGTCTGCAGCCGATAAAAATTATTTCCGAAATGGAACAAATAATACACCAAATAGAGGATGAGAGAACAAAAGAAATGGAGAGAAGCAGGCTAAGCAACAGAATATTGCAATACAAACGGCAATCAAACCATAACCCAGTGGAAAAATTCATACTTCACACTTTCGACAAAACTAAAGCCTTTTTACAAAAACACAAGGAGGACATTATTATAACAGACTCAGACAAAGGAAACAAAACAGTAGCAATATATAAAACAGATTATAGGGAAAAAATGAATAGCTTGCTAGGAGACAAAAACACATATAGAATAGCAAGAAATGATCCAACAAATGCACTACAAAAACAGAATAATAAATTGGTCGGCGAACTTTACAAAAACAAAAATATAAATATTAAAGAAAAGAAACAACTTACCTGCACCGCAGCGACTGCGCCCAAAAATCCATAAACCGAACTTACCCCTACGTCCTATAGCGTCATCTGTCAGTGTCCCGTGTTATGGTCTGTCAAAATTTATTGGAAAATTCTTAGGTGACTTAACGTCGGAGGAATACAACATACGAAACTCATTGAGACTGAAAGAAAGATTGGAGAAGGTGCGTATATGTGAAGAGGACTTATTAGTATCATTTGACGTGGTGTCATTATTCACCAACATTCCCACATATCTAGCCATCAAAATAATAATGAGCAAATTCAGTCAAATTATTTCTAGAACAAACATACCAAAAAACAAGTTTTTGGATCTCTTAAACTTCTGTCTTAAAGATAACAATTATTTCATGTACGATGGCAAAATATACACACAAAGTTTTGGGATGCCGATGGGTAATCCCCTCTCCCCGACTATAGCAGATATAATCATGGACGACTTATTGGATAATACAATCTCGGAATTAAAGAAACTTCACAACATTGACATCAAATTCATAGCTAAGTACGTGGACGACATCTTCGCGATAGTGAAACGAAACGACGTAGATATTATTCTGAAAACATTAAACCGGTACCACAACAAGCTGCAATTTACTATTGAAAGAGAGGAAAATTTCAAGAAATTACGAAATATTACTGGACTGGTACTCCAAGCCTATATCGTCTGGACGAATAATAAATTTTCTGTCCTCGCAACCCATGAAATATAAAATTAACGCAGCAAAAAATTTGATAAATAAAATACTGACCATAAGCCATAAACAATTTTTAGATGAAAATACAAAGAAAATCTACAAAATCCTCACAAACAACAAATACCCCAGTCACCTTATAAAAACTCTAATAGAACAAAAATTAACAGAAGTAAACAACAATGAAAATAAAATAACACCCACCGCAACAACAACTGAAACAAAACAATACTTTAGCGTTACATACATACCTAAGTTGACGGACAAATTCAACCACAACATAAACGAACATAAGAAAAACATAACTCTGGCGTACAAGTCAAATTGCACACAGTCCACAATCTTCACAAAAACTAAAAGTCCGATCGAAACCTACCAACAAAGCAACGTGGTGTACGAAGTGAAATGCATGGGAGGAGAAAATGTAGACTG